AAATTTATGAAATCTCAAACTAGCTTCACAGATGATAGTTAGGATGTTGTCTGTTTGTTACTTTTTGAAGTCTGTCTTGACAATATTCACAGTGTTTGAATAGTGGCTGAGGGAACTTTAGGACTACATGGTGGGAAGTGGTGTTCAAACATTCTCAGATCAAACACGTGTCATTCCCATGTGGTGGCCACATGTGATGTGCTTCACATCTGTCAGAAACAAAGGAGTAATTAAAACTCAGTGAGGGCAGGAAACTGAAGGTGCCTATCCAGAACCCCCTTGGGTGTTTGAATGTGATCAAAGTGAGGAATTTGCTGGCAGCAGTATGGAAATAGCACGCCAAGATTCCTTTAGTTAATAAGCGGGCTTGTTATCATTGAGATCAGAGTTTTAAATTCTGTTCTATATCCTGAATCATTACCTCATATTTTCTCCAAGCAGGCAATATATATAAAAAGAAAATTAACCACTGCAATTTTGTTTTTCTCTAAGGATATTCCAATTTTATCAATAATACATTGGTACAAAAGAAGAGGAAGATCTTGAAAAGCCAAGCCTATAAAGTCATATCTAAGCTGATCTAGATCTCCCCACAGATGCCCAAACACCAGATTTATAGTCCCAATTGAATAAATCTCAATTTATAGATGGAGGTCTCTGTTAGAGGTTGTGATGTGCTTTGGGAGGTGTGCAGAAGTTCTTAAGAGTTGCTCTTTTCCCTAGTTCTTCAACATTGTACCAAAACCCTCTCTGATAGTTTGAAAAGAATTGGACTCTACTGCTTTCGAGATACAGTATCGAAGAGCCCTTCCCTTGATACAAGGGCTTCTTCTATGCTAACCCCCACAAATTTGTCACACCACCTGATATATTTTTATTCCAGTTGCTGTGGGTAGAATGTGGAATTGTTTCTGGCTGTCATTGAATCATGCAGCACAGAAACAGACCCTTCAGTCCAACTTGTCTATGCCAACCAGATTTCCCAAACTAAACTGGTCCCATTTTCCTGCATTTGGCCCATAAGTCTATTAACAGTTTCTATTCATGTGCTTGTCTGAATGTGTTTTAAATTTACCTGCATTTACCACTTCCTCTGCCAGATCATTCCACATATGAACCACACACTGTGTGAAAAAGTTGCTCCTTAATCCCGTTTAAATCTTTCTTCTGTCATCTTAAAAATACATCCCCAGTTTTGAACTCCCCTAACCTAGGGAAAAGACCTTTGTTATTCACCTTATCTATGATTTTATAAACCTCGTTAAGGTCACACCTCAACTTCCTATGCTCAAGTGGAAAGAGTCCAAGCTTATTCAGCTTCTCCTTATAATTCAAAACCTCTGGTCCTGGTAACATCCTTGTAAATCTTTTCTGCACCCTTTCCAATTTAATAATATCCTTCCTATGGCAGGGTGACCCAAATTTTATGCAGTACTCCAAACGTGGGATCACCAACATCCTGTACAGCCGCAACATGACATCCTAACTCCTATACTCAATGAAGGCAAGTGTGCTAAATGCCTTCTTAACCACACTGTCTATCTGTGATACAACTTTCAAGAAACTATGTACCTGATACCTAGGTCTCTCTGCTCGACAACACTTCTCAAAAACCTACCATTAACTGTGTAAGTCCTGCCCTTGTGTGCAACACCTCGCATTTATCCAAATTAAACTCCATCTGCCACTCCTTGACCCATTGGCTGAGTTGATTAAGATCTCTGTGTACTCTTGGATAGCCTTTTTTCCAGTCCACTATGCTACCAATTTTTGTGTTATCCACAAACTTACTAACTATGCTCCCTAAATTCTCATCCATAACTTCTACCGCTCTGCCCTCATCTATCGTCTGGTGTTCATTCTCAAAAAACTCTATCAAGTTTGTGAGACACAATTTCCCACGCACAAAGCCACATTGATTATCCCAAATCAGTCCTTGCCTCTCCAAGTACATGTAAATCCTATCTCTCAGAATCCACTCCAACAACTTACTACATCAGACTCACTGGTCTATAGTTCCCAGGCTTTTCCTTGCAGCCTTTCCTTAAAAAAGGCACAAGATTAGCCAGTCTTCAGTCTTCCGGTACCTCATCCATGGCTGTAGATGATGAAAATATCTCAGCAGGGGGCCCCGCAATTACTTCATCAGCTTCTCACAATGCCCTGGGATACACTTGATCAGGTACCGGAGATTTATCTATCTTTTTTATTAAGACCTCCAGCATCTCCTCTTCCGTAATATGGACTGTTTCAAGACATCAATATTTATTTTCTTGAGTTCCTTAGCTTCCACGTCTTTCTCCACAGTAAATACTGACACAAAGTATTTATTTAGTATCTCTCCCATCTCGTATGGCTCAATACATTGACGACCTTGTTGATCTTTATGGGGCCCTATTCCTTCCCCAGTTGCTGTTTGACCCTTAACATACTTGTAGGATCTATTTGGATTATCCTTAACCCTGCTTATATGCCAAGGCTATCTCATATCCCCTTTTTCCCCCTTGTAATTTCCCTCTCATTAATGCCCCAATTCTCCTTATACCCTTCAAGATATTCACTTGATCCCATGCCTAATGCCAGGCTCTCCTGGTTCAGCTGGTTCAGACCCAGATAGATGGGTGGAAATTCCTTGTTGGCACACTCACACCAGCCAGACATGCAATTTGAATTAGACCATCATGCATATAGGCAAACAACAGCACAGCAGCTTCATTAACTTGACATTATCTGGCATGCCTATCCATTCTTTGACGTGACCTGACACTAAAATTAAATGAGGCATTTTGTCTTGGCATAAGTGCATTGTTACTCAAACAAAATTGCACAGTACTGCTGTACAGTTTGATGTTTATTTGGGCAACAGTAATAAAAGCACTCTGCTTTCCTGATTAACAAAACAGAAAAATCATAATGTATACAGCTGTCCAGCTAGAAAAAATAAACTACTCAGATATGAACAAGAAAATGTCACTGACTCTTTGCATGAAAGAGAATGAAAGAGATTGTTCCGCTGCATCCAGAAGAAATTAACTATTTACACTGGTTGATCTGGTGATACAAAACCCAATTGTTTCACCAATAACCTTTTGGAGTATGCCTGTCAGTCCTACCAAGTGATGCCCTTATCCCATCCTACATAGCTGATTCCTAATGCTTTCCTGGCATTCAAGGACAAGCAATAAATGCTGCCTTGTCAGTTTGCCAATACCCCAAGTACAATTTTTGTTTTAAAAATCAAATGACAGGATCTGGGGAAGACATTTTTGGATGAATTTCTCTAACCAGAATAGTTTTGTCAAGAAGGATAATAAGTGAGCAGCTTGATATCATAATAAGGACTAAAATTAGAAAGATATGGTTTCAATACAGACAGCCAACATGTACTTCTAAGAGGCAAGTTGATCTTGCTTGACAAGCTTCACGTATGCAGGTGGAACAATGGGGTGTGTTGATGACTGACAAGTGAAGTGCAATGGTCACCACCTATTGTGCTAATAAAGAATCTCTGCAATCTTTCAAGCTCCAACCTCACTTACATTCAAACTGAGCTGCAAGGTGTCAAACAAGGATACCATACACCTCATTGAAGCCTAACAATCAAGTCCAGCTGGCGAACAGCAAGAAAAATTGCAGGACTGGGGAAAAGTCTTCAGTCATCAGTGACGCTGATTACAGCGACTGTTGTTTTAACCGGCACCTTATGAACTGGCAAAAATTATATAGCTCAAATACTGCAAAGTTTATTCTATTATTCAGTCCAATTATTATCATCATAGAATTGCTACAGGGC